CGAAAGAGCGAGCTTGGGTGTTGCTGTGTGCCTTTTGCTAAGAGGGGGAGAGAGACATGAGGATCAAGAGAAATCCTCTTGGCTTTACCTCTGACCCTCTGCTCCTTTCTGAGCATCTGGGCCTTGGGGTCCCCATTTGTAAACAGAGGTTATTAAATTAGTCTCTCCAAAGGCTGTCACAGAATCCCTCAAAGGTTGAAAATTCTTTGCAAATAAAAATGCCTTGCCATGGGAGTGCCTGTTAGTATAAATGAGGAGTGGAAAGCAGGCAACTAGAGGGGAAAATAGGTAAGGTGCTCATGGTTTCCATTTACCATTTTTCTTTTCTTTCCTATTTTTCCCTCTCTTTGGTTTTGAGTTTTCTGAGTGTGTTTGTTGTTCAGGAGTAAGGGTATTCTGTGGTTGGAGTCAGGTATGCCTTCCATAGGAAATTGTTTGGGTTCAGGGGTCAGAGAGATCCTAGTTTGAATCTCTGTTCTCTCTGTTTACGGTTTACTTTGAACATGTTGCTTAACCTCTCTGAGCCTTTGTTTTCTCCTCTGGAAAGTGGAGATGATATTTCCTCTCTTGGAGGACCAGTGTGCCAACCTGGGCTCATGTATGTACAGTCTCAGAAAGTCAAATTCCATGCTCTCTGCTCGTGTATGCCCCCACCCCAATCCTGCTTCATCTTCCTTGTTTTCCTTTAATGGACCTTTAATGTACTAAATGATTGAATGTTTCATTGTGTTTGTCAATTTTTGTATGTTTCTCCCCCCTGACAATTTAGGTTCCATGAGGGTGGGGGTCTTTGTTTTGCTTAGGTATTCCGAGTGCCTAGAACAGTGCCTGGCACATGACAGATGCCTGATGGTCATTTGTTGAATGACTAATAGGCCATTAGCCATCCCCGCTTTCTCTCTTCTGTTTTTGCTTCTACTCAGTGAGACTCATTTTGGATCTGGTCTGTAATTCTGTTTTGCTTTCTTCTTGTCTTTTTCTTTCTTCTGGAGCTCCAGTTCGTTAGATTATGTCCATCCAGCATTAAATATTCTGCTCTTCTTCTTTGCTGAATAAATGAGTATCGTTGAAGAATATTCTGGAGACTGAATTTGGTAAAAATTCCTCTGTATTTTATGTGAAAAGTATGACTTTCTTGTAAAAACCGTTAGCCACCGAAGAGCTTCCTAAACTTGCGTAAACACACTGAAATTTTCTTCCTTAAGTCATAAACTGGAATAAAAAATTCCGGAGGGAAAAAAACCTAACCGCTTCCCAACACCCCTGACTTCTTTACAGTAGCTGATTAATTAAAGAGTTACTGTTAAAATGAGGTCGGACTATTTTTAAAAGCAACAGCCAGAGTTTGGATGAAACTTCTTTGAGTTTGGAGAAGCAGACCAGACCCAAGTGTGCATTCTGTCTGTGTATATTTTCAATCTGATGAAAAGCAGGATGTGGGAGAATCTGACAAGCCTAACTTGGCTGGACTAAACTGATTTTGTTTCTTCAAGTGCATTTTGGTGTCAAAATTCAGGCACAAGACATTAACAGGAAAGGGACAAAAACCAACTGATCATCTCAATAGGTGCAAAAAAAAAAGCATTTGACAAAGTCCAATACCCTTTTGTGATAAAAACACTCACCCACTAGCACAGAAGGAAAGTTCTTCACCTTTGTAAAGGGCATCTACAAAAACCCACAGCTGAGTGATACTTGATGGTGAAAGATTAGCTGCTTTTCCTTAAGATCAAGAACAAGACGAGGATGTCCACACTTGTCATTTCTATTCATCTTTGTACTGGAGGTCCTAGCCAGGGCAATAAAGGCAAGGCAAAGAAATAAAAGACATCATGTTGATAAGAAAGGAGTAAAACCATTCCTCTTCACAGATGACATGATCTTATGTACAGGACGTCCTCAGAAATACACACATACTATTAGAACTAGTAAACAAGTTCAGCAAGTTTGTAAGATACAAAATCAATGCAGAAAAATCATTTGTGTTTTTATACACTACCAACCTGAAAATGAAATTAAGCAAATAATCCCACTTACAATACTGTCGAAAAGAATAAAATACTTAGGAATAAACTTAACAAAAGATGTGCAAAACCTTTACCTGAAAACCGCAAACTATCATTGAAAGAAATGAAAGTAGACTGAAATGGCATCTTTTGTTCATGGATCGGAACGCTTAATATTGTTAAGATAACAGTACTTTCCAAATTGCTCTGCAGATGCAGTGCAATCCCTATCAAAATCCCAGCTGGATTTTTTTTGCAGAAATTGGCAAAGTAACCCTAAAGTTCATATTTTATGATGGAAATGTCAAGGACTCAGAAGAGCCAAAACGACTTTTTAAAAGAAGAACAAAGTTGGAGGACTCACACTTCACAATCTCAAAACTTACTAAATGACCACAGTAATAAAGACGGTGTGGGACTCGCATGAAGATAGACATACAGACCAATGGAATAGGATTGAGAGTCCAGAATAAACCCTAACCTTTATGATCAATTGGTTTTTGACAAGGGTGCCAAGACAATTCAATAGGGAAAGAATAGACTTTCCAACAAGTGGTGCTGAGACAGGTGGCCACAGGAGAATGAAGTTGGACTCCTACCTTACACCATATCCAAAAAATAACTCAAAATGGATCAGAGACCCAAATAGAAGAGCTAAAACCGTAAAACTGTTAGATGAAAATTCAAGAGTAAATCTTTATGATCTTGGGTCAGGCTCAGGCAATGGTTTCTTAGATATGATACCAAAAGCAGACACAACAAAAGAAAGAAAATAAATGGGACTTCATCAAAATCAGAAACTTCTGTGTTTCAAAGGATATCATCAAGAAGGTGAAGACAGGGGCTGGCCCAGTGGCATGGTGGGTAAGTTCGTGCTCTCTGCCTCAGTGGCCCGGAGTTCACCAGTTTGGATCCTGGGCACAGATCTACACCCCTCTCATCAAGCCATGTTGTGGCAGCATCCTACTACCAAATAGAGGAAGATTGGCACAGATGTTAGCTCAGGGCCAATCTTCCTCACCAAAAAAGAAAAGAGAAAGAAAGAAAGTGAAGACAACCCACAGAATGGGAGATTTTTACAAGTCATGTATCTGATAAGGACTTGTATTCGGAAAATATATAAGGAATGCTTTCAATTCAACAATAAAAAGACAAATAATTTAAAAATGGACTAAAGATTTGAATATACATTTCTCCAAAGAAGATATATAATCACATAAAAAGATGCTGAACATTATTAGCCATTGAGAAAGTGCAAATCAAAACCACAATAAGATACCACTTCACACCCACTAGAATGGTAACAGTCAAAAAGAAAGACAATAACAAGTGTTACTTGGCAAGGATGTGGAGAAAATGAAACACTTGTTCATTGATGATGAGAATGTAAAATGGTGCAGATATTTTGGAAAACAGTTTGACAGTTCCTCAAAATGTTAAATATAAAGTTACCATACAACCCGGAAAATTCCATTCCTAGGTATATACCCAAGAGAATTAAAAACATATGTCCATATAAATAACTTTACATAAATATTCAGAGCAGCATTATTCACAAAAGCTAAAAAGTGAAAACAATCCACGTGTCCACCAACTGATGAATGGATAAACAAAATGAAGTGTGTCTGTACTGTGGAATATTATAATGCAATCAAAGGAACTGAAGGATTGACAGATGCCGTAGCCTGGGTTTACGTTGAAAACATCATGCTATGTGACAGAAGCCAGTTTCAAACGACTACCTATAGTGTAATTCCATTTATATGAAATTTCCAAAATAGGCAAAACCATAGAGACAGAAAATAGATTGGTGGTTGTCAGGACCTGCAGGGAGGGGAAGGTGGGAAGTTACTGCTAATGCACATGGGGTTTCTTCTGGGAGGGATGAAAATGTTCTAAAATTAAATAGTGGTAATGGTTTTACAACTCTGCGAATACACCGAAACCCAGTGAATTGTACACTTTAAAATGGTGAATTTTAAGTATGTGAATTATGTCTTAACAAAGCTGTTATCAAAAAATTCAGGCACATACGGGGATTAGGATCCTGGACTGTTGCATGGCCTTTGTAAGGTACTACGAAAGTAGTCATAAAGATCAGAGCACGTGTAGAACAGCTTATTTTCTTAAAATTTTCCTTCTCTTTTTATTTTCCTGGTGGAAGCTAGAAATGCTTTTGTGTTGCTGACATCAACGATTTTATTGCTTCATCATTTTTGTAGCCATGGAAAAAGGAACAGATGGTAACCTTAAAAGAGAAATGTTCAATTTTGGGAAGAGATTTTTAGCTTTTGCTGCTAGCTTTTGAAATAATTCACATGCATGATCCTCTTATATATATAAAAAAAAACTACCAACATAGGGAAATTTGGGGCTTCTAATTAGAATTTCAAACTCCCAAGATCTTTAGTGGAGGTGAAAATGTCTTTCCCGGGAGATCTTAGAGCCAGATTTCTTTAGTGGGAAAAAAACGTTTTTGCTCTTCTTATTGAAGAAAATCTCACCCGCAGTTCTTCTTAAAACCACTTCTGTTTTCCAAGGTCTAGGAACCTTTTATAAAAATGGTACATTGTCAGTATTTGTTAAATCCACTGGTAATATTTCTGGTCAGCATATGTATTGTGTCTATTTAATTACTGTTACAGTCCAGAAAATTGTGGTCGTGGTCCATATCCAGTGTTGTACCTAGTAAAATAAAAGGTATTTTGACATTTCTGTTGGTATATTGATTTAGAAGAAAAGCCTGGGACCCATGTTTAAACGTCCTTAGCTTACCTGGGAGCCTCTGACCTTTCTGGACGTTTCCACATGTGCGGTGCCACACCTCTACAAAGACAGGCGTGCTGTGGAACGCTCCTTTAGAAGCTTTTGCCAAAAGCCAGTTGCCAAGGAATGTGTTTATGGTTTGTGATGCAAAGGCTGGTGACGGGCAGGCCAAGTGAAAAAATGGTTTCTTTTGCCTTCCTTCTCACCTCCCCCCTTTGCTGCTTGCAGGAAGATCTGCCTGCACTGCAAGTGCCCTCAGGAGGAGCACATGGTGACGGTGATGCCCCTGGAGATGGAGAAGACCGTCAGCAAACTCATGTTTGACTTCCAGAGGAACTCGACCTCGGACGACGACTCGGGCTGCGCCTTGGAGGAGTACGCCTGGGTCCCGCCGGGGCTGAAGCCTGAACAGGTACCGTTCTTGACATGAGGGCGATTGTGGTTTTGGCTTTTACCTTTGTGTGTTGCTCATCCTTCCTCATTCCAGTTCAGAAGAAGAGTTGACTGCGCTGATTCAGAGAAGTGGTTGGGGCTTCTTGGGTTGAAGATGTCAAGGGCCCCACTGGGAAATGAGGAAGAGAAAGGAGACTGAGCCTTGCCTTGTGGGCCACTGCTAATTCATTCTGTATTGCCATCATTAACTGTCAACAGAAGATTGTCTAGAAACATCTCAGAAATGTTGGCTTTGAAACATCAGATAGGGAAACTTCATTTTTAGCGTGGAGGGGGGAGTTTTCTACATTGGCCGTGAATCTTCATGTTAAGATTCTTTGTGAAGGAGAGTGAGGAAATAAGGATTTGCCTTATTCTTCCCGTGATATATGCTGTGTTTAAATATTAAGTTTGGCCTTGCTTTACAAAGAAAGACATTGGCATTTCCTGAAATATTTCGGCACTACCCAGAGGCTGTAAATATTAATGGCTCGATTGGATGAACTTGGTTTCTTTCTGTTTCACTGCATTTTTCTCAGTGATATACAGCAACTGCTTTGCCTTTGTTGGTACATGGAATTTTCTCTTCCACCAGCCTCATGTTGGTTTAGGAGCCCCTTCTGTAAGCCGGATATTTTCATGATCTCCCCTGTACATCTTTGAGAGACAGGTTTATCAGAATCTTAAGTGTTTGACCACTGTTCCCTTCCTCCGACACAGAAAGTTTCTTTCTCTAGAAATCTTCTCTATGTCGAACAGAATGTTTTGAAGCTTAAAAAGCCCTGAAGTTTTAAGTGAGGAACTTGAGATATAATAATACTTTTAAAAAAATGTTTTATGATGAAGAAAGACCCAAGATTCACCAATAACTTAAGGGTGGGACTGATAACATCTCTTTGATTAGCCATTTCTCATTTTTCTTCTAATATTGAGGTGGTAAATTGGCAGATGACATCGAACACATGGGCAGGGTTTGTTCAGGCAGCAAAGTATTGTTTAAAATTTTAGGTTAGTTACTAATACTTAAAAGTTAGGAATTTTTATTTAAAAGTTCATATTTGTATCTTGAAAATTTGAGGATCTGGAATCTCATTTCTGCCAGGATTGATGTGCTGGCCCCTGTGTTGAATGCTGGCTCTTCTTTTTAGACAGAGTTGATCTCTCCAAGACCCTTGGCCTCCACTAAGCCCACCTCATCCTTTTGTGAAACCTTCCTAAACCCTCCAGACACTTCAGTTTTGTGATCTCTATTCTAGTTCTTACTACCAAGAAAATATCTTAGAATAGAAACATTCACAGAAAATACTCTCCATGAGAATGGAAGGGAGTTCTGTGTTGGGATATTAGCAGGAAGAAATAAGTGTTTCTTCTCAGTTTGTAAGTTAAGTTTCTATCTTTGTGTTCTTCTGTTTCAGTAAAGATTGTACTGTATTAAAGTTTTCATAAACTTGTTAAAAAAATAAGCTTAAGAAGAATAAGAATGTTTGATTGAATTTGTCTGAAACTCAGATGAGGTGGTAGGTGACTGGATATCTTTGTTTGACACCACTTTTCTACTGCCAGTACTTGAGCAATGAGTTTTCACACCTAGATACATCTGTGAGCTTGTTTCATTTTCTTGCTAACCTTGTTTCCAGCAGTTTCTAAGAGATCCATCTTTCTTTTGTTCACATTGCTTCCTGCTAAATTGGACCCTGAAATTTCAAAGCTAAGCTCTTTTTGGTTTCCTGCTTAGGTAGACTCTTCTCTAAGACCATGAAACATCATTCTATGATGTTCAGAGTCAGAGAAAATTTTCTGTTGGCCCAAGAGAACAGACAATTGCAGAAGCTAGGGCTGTGGTTAAATTCACCAATTTCAAAAGTAAGTGCTTCTGATATTTTTGGAGGCCACTTGACTCATCCTAAATGAACATCTCTTGGAGACATAAAACAACTTTCTTTGATTTGTTTTGAAAGAAAAATGATTAATGCTATTAAACAAGTGGTTTGAATTATGTCAGATGAAAGAAGATTCCCGTCTCTTATAATTGTATTGTTCTTTGAGTGGTTTTCTCTATTCCCTACACTTACTCAAATCTATATGACACAGATGATTGGAACAGGAAATTGTCCTCCAGAGAGAGCCTGTCTTTTCAAGCTATTTGCAGGGTCTATGTTTGCCTAATAAAATATGAGTCCATACTAAAGGTGTTTGAAGGGATCGTGTTGCATGAAAGAAACGGGCTTCAAATTTTTAAACTATGAGATCTTTTGAAGTCTATTACTTACAGAACTGTTTATAGGTTTAAAGATTTTTAAAAAGCTATCCAGTAGGTTCTAAGATGAGAAAAATTTGAGACCCTAAATGCCTTTCACTAATAAAAATTCTGATGTTTAATATCATGTTAGTTGTCTCTTACTGGAGAAAAACCATTCTTCTACCCAGAGAAATTATAGTGAACATTAAAATGCTTTGTGCTGGAGGCAAAATGCTGAAGACCAGTTAGGGTTGAGAGTAATGTGCTTTCATTTTTGTTGGAAACCTTTCATTTCACTCCCTGATCGTGGCGTTGGTAATATGCCTTCAGGTGACACTCTTTATGATTCTATTCCTTCTGAGAAATACCTTCAATTAAATATAATGCAAACGAAAGTCATCTCCCATCTAGGGAGGTGTTCTTGAATATGGGCATTTAATTTCTTAAAAATGTACTAGCTGCAAAACCCAACCTTCCTAAAATAATGTGAAAAATGATAAATATAGCAGATGATGCCAGAAAGGAAAGGCATTTATGTTGTGATTTTTAATGACGGGACTGAAACGTAATCGGAGAGGTTGCTCAGATCCTTTGCCTCTGCTCTCTCTGAATAAGGTGTTTAATGTGATCCAGAGAGCCCTGCGGTGCAGAACAGAGAATGGGAGTTGGCCCTGGGTGTCTGAAGGCATCTGTAAGGCTCCACTTTCTCTCCAGATTCAAACAGTTAATAGTATGTGCCCAATCTCCTAGAGATGTTATGGTGATAAACTTACAGTAGATGATACTTTAGGAAGACTTTGAAAAATGCTTAACAAGCTATAAGAGAGGCAAATGGTAAGGAAGGTTCCTCTACCTCAGCACCATTAACGTCTGGATAACTCTTTGCTTTTGGAGCTGTCCTGTGCACTGTAGGGTCTCAACCCACTAGGACATTGAGATAACCAAACCTGTCTGCAGACATTGCCCAGTGTCCCTGGGATGGGTTGGGCACCCCGGTTAAGAATCACTGGGTGAAAGTGATGTTAAAACTGGCAGGATCTGTCAGCAAAATTCTGGCCCAATCAAGACAAAAAAGGTGACTCAATTCAGCAAACGTCTATTTGAGCACCTACCTTGTTCTAGCTCCAGGATAACAGCTGCTGCCTTGTAATGTGGTCAAGTGTTGGGCAGGGTGAAAAAGTGGTGATCCCATGCTGCTTGAGCAGGGCCAGTTCTCTCTGAGGCAGGACCTGTCAAAACATGAATTGAAGTGGCGTGAGGAGCAGGCAGTGGGCGGGTCACCTTTTGTTCTTCAAAACAGAAATCGTTTTTTCCTTTTATATAGGGAAGACTGGCTTACTGAGAAAAAAAGAAAAGAAAACACGAGATATTTAAGAAAGCAGATGAAAATCACTCATAATTCCACTAATCAAGTAAAATTGTTTTCCAACCTTTTATGCGTGCATGTAACAAGTATCTGTGTATGTAGGAGTCGTTTCTGTTTTGTTTTGGGCAAAAATGTGATGATGCTATCCACTCATCCTGACCTTTTCTTTTTTCCACTTTGAAGTGGGTATGTACTTCTCCAGTGGTAGTTCTAACCTGGGGTGGTACCACACACCACTAGGGAGCATTTGGAAATGTCTGTTTGGGAGGGGAAAGTTGTTGTCCAAATGACTAAGGGACTTCACTAGCAGTTGAATGGACAGGGGCTTGGGATGCTAAGTAACCTGAAAAGTACCAGATGATCCTGGACAAACGGGAGTTTACGTCTCCCCGATGCCAAAAGCACCACCATGAGCTGAAGATGTGGTCTCAAACATATGTGTCGTTGGCACCTTTCTTCTGTGTTAAATAAGGTGGCAGCAGACAATCATTCTGTACACTTGCCTGCTCCTCTTCTCAAGAATGATTCCGAGAGGTAGAGTGGTCGCCTGTAGACCTCTTCAAGGCTTTTGATTCATTGTGCCAAATGACCCTCCAGAAAGGCTGTAACTGGTGCATCCTCTGGGTGGATAGCCTACATTGGATACTTGTGGATGTGGGTTTTCTGTTAGTTCTTCTACTCACTGGTCCATGAAAATCTGAAGAGACTACATTGCTTCTCCTGAATAAATGTCCTTTTCATTGATCCTGTGGATACTCATCAATCTTGTGGAGGCTTCTCAAATATAAACATTCTCAAATCTACGATCTCCAAATGTTAGTAATTTTACCTTGACCTTAACTGTACTTTTGCAGGTAAAGAGTGGTGATTAGGTTATTTGTGCAGAACTCTCAACTTTCACTTCAAACTATCACAAGAAGGATGAAGAGTAGATACCAGGAGTAATTGCCCAATTTTTGGCTTTCAAAATATTCTTCCATATGTGGCGAAATAGACCATCCAATACTACCTAGAGATGAGGTGAACTAGTTGTTTTTGTGTCCTCTGAAACTCTAAAATATCTCTATTGCGGGATACATAAACTTCTTTCTTTGGCTTTTAATTTAGTGACTATTACTCATCCATCAGGTGTCAGATTAAATGCAATTTCTCAAGGAGCTTCTCTGCCCGCCCCCCACTCCCAATGCAAGACTAGGTCCCCGGTTTCATGCTTTATAGCCATCCCCATAATTTTCCTTCTCAGCGCTTCTCAAACTTGTAATTAGATATTTATTGATATAATTATTTGTATAATATTTGGCTCCCTACTTTGCTGTAAGATCCAGGAGGACAGGAATCTTGTCTGCTTTGTTCTTTAGGAATCCCCCAGCCCCTA